TCATTATACTTGGGGGGAATGGAAGGATAAGTGAAAATGAATTGGACATATTGTATCCAGTTAGCAGCCATGAATTGTGAAAGATAGTAGCTTGCATATTAACAACACTAGAGGTTTCAATTGCTTGATTTACCAATCAAATAAGTCTGACTTCTACAGATCAGGCTTTGCCCTATTGATTGATCCCTTTCCTCATCAATCCTTGTGGAGATGAACACATGCCATTGAAACAATTCTCTTGGTATATTCTCCCAGAAAGAAAAGAAAGATTTTTCTAGATTGATCTTGGGTGTGGAACCTCATGTGTTTATAGAAGAATAAAGGAATCACTTTTTAAGTGGTGGTTTAATGCTTTTCACATTCAGGCTTCATTTCCATGGTTGTGACTTGGGAGAATATTTAGTGATTATTCTTCTGCAGTGGATAAAATCTTCTGTATTCCCATAAACTCTATCTCTCTCATCCATGTACGAATAAGAGACATACACACCCATATATTTCACATGGAATCCACTACAAACTTATTGTAAAGATCATTGGTAAATATCTTTATCTGTTATTATGGATGTGAACATGTGTGACAACATCAACAATGCAGCTTGGAGGCATTTGTTGCTGCTGTTTCAACTCAAGAACTGGTCACTCATAATAAGTATTTTTTTTTATTCTGGAAAAACATTTATATAAGCTCACAAAGAAGTACTTACAAGTTAAAGATGAATTATTCTTTTGAGAGTCAAATTAACAATAAAGCTACTCATGTATTAGGAGTGTTTTGTAACTCATATATCACTCAGATTAGCCAATATATAGATCAGATCACCAAAGGTTTAAACATCAATCAAATAACTAATTAAAGAATTCAATTTTCCAAACAAAATCTAGTGATAAATCATCCTTAATATAAGTGAACCAAAGAAACAATCCCAATCCAAATCTTTCAAGAAGCAAAGTCATGGAATAGCTTCCCAAGATCCGCACAGTTACAATCGCATGCATGCGATGAGGCTTAATTAAATATGTGAAAGCTTTGTACGTGCTTGTCTTGGCCTTTTAAGGCTCAGAGACCTCAGACCTCTCATCTTCCTCCTCTCGGACGGTGTTAACCATTGCTGCCACGTGATCCATGCTCGGCCGAGCAGCAGGGGAGGGATGAACGCACCTGAGCGCAACCTGCAGCAACTGCACCATTCCTCCCTCGCTGGCTCCACCCGAGACGAGCGCCTCGTCGAACACCTCCACCGTCCACTCTTCCCTGACCACGGAGTTCACCCACCTCGCCAGCTCCGATGGCTCATTCCGGACCGGCTTCCCCGTCAGCAGCTCCAGGAGGATGATCCCGAAGGCATGCACGTCGGCAGCGGCGACGGCGGATCCGCCACCGGCCTTCTCGACACTGCGGCTGTCTGCTACCAGGCCGTACTCGCTGATGCATGGGTCCATGACGTTGGTCAACAAGATGTTGGAGGACTTGAGGTTCCCGTGGCCGATGCCATCTGCAAGAAGCTCCCTGTGCATGGCGGCCAAGCCCTCGGCTACTCCGGCGGCCACCCTCAGCCTGTAACTCCAGTCAAAAGCAACACAATCCAATTGCCTGCCTGAGAAAGGGCAATATAGGTTAGGGAGCATGGAAACATCGACCGCACATGAAAGGGAAAAATATTTAAAAAAGGACTAAGGTATGTTAGAAAATATTTATGTATAGCAAAAAATTTTAAAATAAAAAAAATTAATATAAATATTAGAGCTTACTACTAAGAGTCTGTTTTTACTATTCATAATTTCTAAATTTAATAAAAATAATATTTTATTATTTATGACTCTTTTAATTCTGATTATTTTTTTTTATCTTTTCTACGTTCGCTCCTACACATATTTCCATTACCTCCCGAGTGTTTCCTATTATTGATCATCATCTCTTAGCTTATGCGTATCACCGATTATTATCTCATAGTTTGTACTCTTGACCCATTACAAATTGTCACCTCCTAGCTTAGTCCAATTGTCGACCATCATGAGTTGTTGCCCCAACTTGCACTCCCTATCATCGATCATCGACCCTCTCAAAATCGCACCCTCATAGTTCATGCTTCGATCCCACTCGTCATCCCCTTAGGATTATAGAAAGAGGATGAAGAAGAAGAATTGGAGATAGAAGAAAATTAAAAAAGATATTTATGTTCATATATGAAAAGATAATATTAAAATATTAAAAATGTTAAATATATGATTATAAACAGTAAAAAAAGATTGTAAATAGTAATCTTATTTAAAGTCTGAGTGATGAGTTTGAATCTAATGACTTAAAGTTATAGAATTGAATTATCAATCAGTTCATGTTATTTCTTACCTTGGAGGAGACTCAAGAGGCTTCCATTCCGCTGGTACTCGTACACCACGAGTTTCTCCTGCGTCGAGCAATGAAACGCCACCGCGGGGAGCACGTTCGGGTGTCTAGCCATGTCCATCCTCTCCATCCTCCTCCGAAACTCCGCTGCTGAAGTGCCGCAGTCCCTGATCCTCTTCACGGCCAAAGAGGTGCCATCGGCCATCGTCACTTTGTACAGGCTTCCATTCCTTCCTCTCCCGAGCGACTCCGCCGGAGCCTTCAACAAGTCGTCAAACTTCAAGTCTGTCATCGTCCCCGGTCTCTTCAGAACGATCAACGAGGATGTCGCCGTGGCGGAAGCTTCCGTTGAAGACCACGGGATCGAGCTCTTTCCGCTGCTGCCATCAGACGCAATCTTCTCGTCAGCAATCTTCCTGTGCTTAGTCCTCTTCTTCCTGTGGATCAACTTGTACGTGACGAAGAGGAACAGGACAAGACCGAGAGCGATGTAGCCCGAGAACATGATGGCCTTCTCGCGTGACAGCTTCAGTGATTTGTGATCCTCCTTTGATGGCGAAGGTGGACATGCAACAGGAAGTGGCTTCCCGCACAAACCGGGGTTGCCGATGAAGCTGGTTTGGTCCAACCGATCACCGCCCGGCGGAATGGGACCGGCGAACAGGTTATTGGAGACATTGAAGCGTCGGCGATCGAAGTTTCCGAACCGGAAACTAGGAATGGTTCCATGGAGGCGGTTATTCTGCGCCAGGAAGCCGACCAGGCCGGAGATCTTTGCCAGGTCCGGCAGCTCACCGGAGAAGTCGTTGTCGGAGACGTCGAGCACCTTGAGGTTTCCCAAGAGGGTGAGAGAGGGAGGCAGGCTTCCAGCGAGACTATTGCCTCCGAGGTACAGGTGCGTCAGCCGGCCACAGTCGGAGATCTCCGGGGGGATTTCTCCCCGAATGGCATTGTGGAGGAGACTCACCGCAGCCAGCGACGGCGCCTGACAGAGCCGGCCGGCGTCGATTGTTCCACGAAGTCCCAACTCCTCGAGCTTGATCTTGTACACAGAACTCGTCCTGTTGTTGCACGTCACGCCATTCCAGCCATCGGTGCATGGATCAGTCGCGGCACTCCAACCCAACTTTTCGATGATCCCGGTGTCGTTGCCCGAGAGCACCTGAAGGAAACCGACTAGCGAGAGCCTGACGGCGTACTCCTCGGAGTTGCCGGAGCAGATCAGGAGGAGGAGGAGAGACATCAGCCAGGAGAGGGTGCTGCTCCATTCCATGGGCAAGAGGGGAGGGAGTGAGGCTGCATGGTTAGGTTGGCGAGGAGATGATAAAGCTGGAGGGGAAGAGGAAGAGGAAGAGGTGGTGGTGGACAGTTGGAAGTTATTTTTAATGGATTGGTCTTGGAGGGAAGTGACAGAGAGAAAGTGTAGAAGGAACGAACGGGTTCAAGTGAAGTGGATGGTGCCATATGGGCTGAGTTCTCGATGAAGGCAAGAGAGAGTGAGATTTGAAAGACATGGAAGCCGGCAGGCTGAATCAGTCTTCTCGATCGAGATGTTGCTACAAAAAGAAACTGCAACTTGTTCCCAGTGACTATTTCTTCTTCTTCTTCTGTTCCCAATTTCCAGTTGGATTGATGGCTGTAAACTTCAGCTTAGAAATAATATATGTGTTGTATAACAATAATAACAAGATCGTGTATGCTTCAATTATCTGAAATTTGCTGCATGAATTTGCCATCATTGAGATCATCAACACAGGAAATGAGTGCTGAGGAGTGAATTCCATGCAAAGAACAATGCAGGGACTCATCTCAAGATGAATCTGACTTCGTATAACAGGCTTTATTTGTACTGGGAAAGAAAGGTCGAGGAATTGAGTGATGAGGACTACAGCAGGCCACATGTATCCCATGACTGGTGCTTGGGGCAATGGTAGGTAGAATGGAAGCTGTGTTGTGGGGATGAAGAATCTAATCAAGATTGCTGCCTCAGTACAAAAGAACACCTTTCTGAGCCTAAAAGTCCACATCTATCATGTGAATTGGTCAAAGATTACGATAGTCACGGCACAAAATTAGGAGATGAGATCTGATCCACCAACCTGACCAAATACAGCAAGCATTAAAGTTCAAGGATAAATTTTTATTTAATGCAAGTTATTATATGGGGATCAATCTCAAATTGCATCTAATTTTTGAGAAACAGCCATGTAATTTTCCCTTTTTGAATTGTTTGAAATCTTAATAGAAAAACAATAAGATCCAGTTCATCTTCATGGCAATTGGAAAATTATACCTTTCAGTGATGGTGCATATTTTGAGGAGGCATTGGAGTGGCTAATATTACTGGACTTGATTTCAATATCCACACATCTTATGATCAGCTCTCAGAGGGAGTTCTTAAGAAGAAGCAGAATGACAAATTTGAAAGTTGGTGGAAAAGCTTTCTTTCATCTAAAGCACAGATAAAAGACAAAAAACATATCAATGGAATACTCTGCTCTTAGCACAGAGGAAAAAATATTGCAATTATCAACAGCAAACAAGTTGGACTGATTTATCAGCACTTTGCTTACAGTATAACTTTAATCTTCCGCTTCTAAATTTGACCATAAATCCAGCAGATATAATCATAGACCGACAAAGTCGTTCGAAAGAAGTGGGCAAATCAATAACCATGCATAGAATGAAGAGATGAATCATGCATTTAAAGCAAAGCCTGGTCTTCCTAGATCATACATAATAATATTTACAGAAAAATTGGCAAGGATGGATGGTTCCATATTTACAGCAGTATTTACATTATTTACACCCATATGTACATTAAGCAATGGTGGAAATCCCCGTCTGGATGCACAAGGGGATAAAGAATAAAACAATATTCCTAACTTCACTCATCCCCTTCGAAGAATCTGAACCTTCAGGATGTTGCAAAGCTCTGTTGCTAACTTTTCTAGTTGCCTCCTATCGGGTCTTAAGAAACAATTTGCTTCCATATATATCACAAGTGAATGGTGTCCAGCAGGAATTATATCAGACAAGCTGCCCCATTGCTCCATGATTGTGCTTCTTTGATGTGGAATTTTCCTCTTTTTTTAACCTATAGATTAAAAACAACTTATGGTCTACACAAGAATCATACTTTACAAGGCCAAGCTCTCAATTAGATTCCACAAAGTCAGTTGTCTTGAAGAGACGAAAGCCATTCCTCTATGTGCTTCTTTCCATCTGTAACAATCAAATTGAGAACACCATTAGAATAAGCATTTAATAACATGTAGCATCTTCAACATAAAATGACTTGTATGCATAAGAAACAATGAAAGGATTGAAATATGTTACAGTGAAAAATCATAATCCAATAATTTGATCACAACAATAACACAAAAGGACGAAATAAATAATCTCTCCAAAATCAAATTATTTCAAGTTAAAGAGTAAAATAGCTGTGATTCCCCTAGTGCCTGTAACAAGGCCACATGCATTTAGAACACCTAAATTTCCACTTAGAGACAAAAAATAAGTGTTCTGGAAAAATAAAATAACATTGTACTAAATAGAAAAATAAAAATTATACATACTTCATAGATCAAAATGTTGAACGCTTCAGTACCATAGAAGTACCAAGATCAGACTAAGATGAAAAGAAACTTTTTAAAGTTTATCTGGAAATAGAAAGATGGCATTTGATTGCACCAGTAATACAGGTGAGCCCATAAAAGCTACAGATGCGATAGGAGGGAGACAAAGACCCTAGTAAATTATGTTAAAAATAACAAAAAAAAAAAAGGATGCAGTATCTTTATGATCACCAAAATATGTTGCCTTCCTGCAACATAATGGAGGGAAAGTACTTCTATAAGTGCATCGAAATAGTTAAGACAAAATGCGTGTCATCATTCATTATTATACTTGTGCTTAAACTATGCAGGGTGTTACAACTAAGAGAAGAAAAGGTAATAGAAAATGTTTATTGTCAATCTCATACAATATTATCATTGAAGTGAATACAGATGGGATTTCGAGTGCACAACTTTTTAAAATTATTGTAGTCATAGAATGTCCTTGCCTAGGAAATACTTCTTCAAATCAAGGGCATTTAATATAAATGTCCTTAGATGAAGTTAGATCTTCCAATAAGGTCAATAATTCCAATCGAAAGATGGAACTGCCAGAGGCTAGAATGTAACCACAAACACAACTGCAATGCTGAAAACTGAATATCATAATTTGTAAAATAAAATATTTCTCCAATATGTGCAAAAGAATGTACACTCGCTCACAGGAGACACTAATGTTTCACGAGTGGACTAGTGCATATTTGAGTGGATTAATACCATTTATTTAGACTTATACCCTTCACAAAGACTTCAGATCTTACCTGCACTAGTTCTACTTCTACCATCATAGATAATCATATGCTTATCACGTCTATCACTTAATAAGGAAGAGACTATGATGAGACCATGTCTTTCCTTTCAGGGTTGTCACTTTGAGTTGCTGGCTTGTTTTCACGTAAATTTAGATTACCACCATGTATTTAATCTTATAATACCTTTCATAAAGACTTCAGATCTTCCCTGCACTAATGCTACAACCACGGATAAGCATATACTTATCATGTCTATCACTTATCATGATACCAAAAGGATAATGACCATGCTTAAGATTGCAAGCAATATCATATCAGCAAGACAAAAAAAGAAGGTTGAAAATCTTAAGAACATCTGTCATCTATGTACATATTTGGCTAAGTTATACATATTATATAATCATTAGTAATCAGATAATATTACAAAATTCTTGACAGTCAAGCAGAACTTGAAAAACTTCAAATCAATATTCACAAAATGAACTATTGCCCAAAGAAATATTCCTGTGTAGTTGTAATTTTCATCCATAAAAATATGACTCATTACTTTCCCCTAATAACTACACAGTGATGAAAGGCAAATAATGGCAGATTGTAGGTTTCAAACTAAAAGATGCACTTTCAAGAAAGGAAAGATTTTAACAGAACAACAGGTCAATTAGCTCTACGCAAGCAAAATATCTTTAAAAAAAGACAATTAAATATTCTCTTTCCATAAAATTAAAGAATTATATGAATACATATGCTAGAAACGCTGAAACTAATGTCTCAGAATCGTAATATTTCCAACAGAATGGATAATTAAGCAGATGCAAATACAGAAACGATACACAACAAATCTAGTAACAAGTATGTAAGAAGATAAAAAGATAACAGCATGTCAACCATGATGGGCTAAGAATCAGTCATCCATTGATCATCTAGTATCCAATCCACCTCACAAGCACATTGTAAAGTGTCAAAAACATTCCTCTGGAAGAATATACTCAATTCCTAAAAGCTATTTAGTCTATAAAACTGATAATAAGCTTACTGGACAATATGAAAAAAAAAATCATCTTGGAAGAAAAATATAGCTCAGCGAGTCTGTTACAGGTTACCAGTTTCACAGCTCACCAGTCACCATATCGTTTCTTACATAAAGATCAGCAATAAATCAAAAATCTCATCAGATTCAAGCTTTCAGCATGTTATTAGCATTATGAAAATCGTAAAGATCAGACCAATGATATCAAATAATGTCAACTTAGTGAATGTAAGATAATGCATACCCCATGAAGCACGTGTAGTAAACAAGACATACACAGCGAGAACTTAAACCAACAAGGCATTTGATCAAAACAACCAAGCAAATGGAACATAAGCAAGGTACCTTCTTCAGTCCCTTATGTAGTTAAATCATTCAAATGCACATTACTCAGCAAGGCACAGCTATAAAAGCGAAATTAATTGCAATCTACGGCATGTTCAATAGAAGAATATTTGTGCGTATGCATATTTACTAACGCACATCAGCATATGCAACACTACACAAGGATAGAATTTAAAAGCAATATCATATTAAGCCTTTGTCAAGGCAACGCATAACAATAGCAATCAGATTTTTACATTTCCAGAGTTTTAGTATACGCAAGAATTAAAATATATCAACAGTATCCTTCTGCAGCATCTTCTTGTCTTCTTATTTCCATGTAAATTTCAAGAGATCTCAGTGGCTACAGTTTGGCATTCAGAAGTCCATAATTTAAATAATATACTATGACAAACAAAATTTGAATATCGAGGAAATATGAAACTATCATTCAGTCTAACTATTTACAAAATCAAACTTAAATAGAACTATTATTACCTCTAGGAGAACAAATACAGCATGCAAGGGAAATAAAGGAAAGCTATGACAGCATGATTTAAGGAACACGTCGAACAAAAGGCTACATCTGCCGAAGAAGTCAAAAGTATTTATCTCACCAGAAAGATCATCACCCGTGCGATCAACCGCTCCCAAGGCATGAGATTTGGAGCTCTCCACATGTTCACTACGACCACGCGCATAACACGGGACCAAGACGGCGAAGCTGTCCTCCGACTCATTATTACTCCGAAAGTCGGGGGAAAGATGTTCCAGCCATCCGATGGACCAATCGGAATCGTCAGACTCCGACCCCGACATGCATCCACCGTCCGAGGGCACAACTTCGATGTCATACTCCTTATCGAAACGCCGCTCTTGCCGGCTCTGCCACTTCTTCTTATTTTTTCTCGAATTTGTCCTTGTCCTCGGCTCATTTACGGGCGGAAATTTCAAGTAATCCGTCTCCTTAAATTCCGAAGGCGATTCGGGTGAGGAACTCAGGGATGAATTGGAGGATTCGTGATTCTTCTTACCCCAAATCCAGAAAGAGAAACGCGGAAAAGACATAGACATTTTTCTATCGGAAAAACCCTTCTCGGCAGAATCAAGCCACTAAATTTGCCCTCCGAAACGATTTCGACAAGCAAAGAATTACGAAGAAGACGCTTTGGAATCTGTCGAAAGAGTCATAAACAATCAAAACTCAGCTATCAAAAAACGAATTTTTTCCCATGAACCGTTCAAAATCATATCTAGCGAAAAACGATATGTAAAATCCCAGTTTTCCTCCCAAAAACCATCAATCAAATCAGAATCTTCACGAGCAACTCCGATCAAAACAAGCATAACAATGAATCTACAAAAGATCTTTCGGAATAGCGGAGAATCTCAAATCCCGTTGAAGAATTGTCAGCAAATTAATCTCTTTCGCGTAAAACTCCTAAAAATCGGGAAGAGATACGCCTCCAGAAGAAATTCAAATAACAAAGCAAGCTATTGCCTGCTGATTAGAATCCCAATCCCACAAGGAACTCAGAGCCCACGCGATGAACCGATCCAGTGGTCCTCGGGCCACCGGCGGGCGCGGGCGCGAGGCGGAGACGAGGGAGATTGGTGGAGGTACGATGCAGTAGCGATTGAAACGGGGCGAGTCCCCGTCGCCGTCCGCTCATTTTAATCTGTCCGACAGCTGCTTCAGATGTCGCGATCGAGCGATCGACGGTTGAGATGCACGAACACTCAATCTAGACCGTCGATGAGCGGGCCCCTTCTCCCAGTTCGCACGGATCGCGAGACCATGAAACGGGTGCATGAGATCGTTTCCGATAGAGCCGCGCATATACGATCATATGCGACGTATTTTGAACCGTTCGAATTTTACAATCGACGGTGGATCTGTGGATGGTGGAAATGGTGGGACCCGGCAACCTAATATTAAGGGAAGGAGGTATTCAGGTCCAATCATTGCGTACGTTTGCCGTGCATTGTGTTGCCACGTCGGTTGCCTTACCCAATTTAATCCGAAAATAATAATAAGGCTAAATAGCATATTTGCCTCTTATATATATATATATATATAATAAGAGAATATTCTTCTACTGATCGAACATGTCTATTTGGTATTGATTGGATCTTATATATCGTTTGCCCTCAATATTTTTCTCACATCAATTATTTATTTATATATTTGTTGTCCTTGGAAGATGCATCAAACATGAAAAGGTGCTTTGATCACATCAAATATTTTAAATATATATTTTTTATTTTAATGGATGCATTTTGTTCAAAAAGAATACTTTGATCACATTAGATATTTTTATGTTCTAGGCAACCATATCACATGCAAACAGATGACTTATTTATGTTGGGTGATGTAAATGGCTTTTATATTAGATGAATATATGGCTTACGAAGGTGTCACTTTGGTCATACATGATGCCTTGGATGTTTTTATATTCGGTGGCTGCATCATGCGGAAAGAAGACACCTTGGTCATGTCGGTACTCTTGATATTTTTCTCCTAAGTAAATGTGTTATATGTAAAGTGTTCTAAGCGAATATATTGCATGAGAAGATGATATTTTTCTTTTATTAGATATTATAGATATTTTCTATCTTGGACAAACACATCACATGTAAACACATGCGAAGATGATATTTTTACCTCTTATTTTCTAAACTTAGTTTTTTAAGATTGAATATAAAAATCATTAATGTAAAAGGATATTGAAGAAACATTGATGCTATTTAAAGTTTCAGCATTGATATTTCTTAAGTAAAGTTTTGAGTTCTGTAGGAATATGTATTAAATTTAAACCACTTTGGAAGAATATATATATATATATATATTACAAATTTTAAACTCAATCTGTTGAATTATTATTAGATTTTTTGTCAAAGAACATCAACAGGAGAGATATAATTGCTTTATTAAAATTTGCGATAGCATGTATGCTATTCCCAAACTTTTGTAGGATGGCTATGTAAAAATCCCCAAAAAACACTTCAGATCTATACTTCACCAACCTGTTTGTATCCACATGAGCAAGAGACAAGATTACTGTCCAAGAAGTCACCTCTCATTTAATCTCTCCTTTGGGTTTTGGGTTTGCACTTGAACTGCTTCACAATCCATTTTCTTTTTCTAGAATAGTGGTCAATGAATATTCTTATCTTTATCAGCTCATGATAATGACCAAATTAAAAGATAAGGTCTAATCAGGATAAGGAATATACTACACTTTTAGATATAATAATTTCTCATCACTAAAAAGAATTTTGTTTTTTTATTTATTTTGAAACTAAGATAGGTATAGTTTATTACAGACTTCTAATGCTCTTCTACAGTCTTTTCAGCAACTTGATCTCTTTCTTTTAGTGGCTAAGATCTTTTCATCTATAGCAGTGGTGACAATGTGACAGTGACAAAAATAGAAAATGATAATACTAATAATGAGACACCATTTATCATCATTGTGAATGAATGAGGAGGTCCCATCCAATTTGTATCCTTTGTTTAATTTAAGATTATTTAATTTTCTTTTGTTACTACACTGTTCATCAAGTGATTGATGTTGATTCATCTGCATCATTTCAGGACATAGTCAGCAAAAGTATAGCTTGTTTGTAAGTCCATGCAAACTTAATCCCAGATCTGGATCACAAAAATATAGAACTTGAATTGTGTGTCATTTCTCGCACATTGTCTGCTAAGAACAAGGATGGAAGATTATGTACATAATGATTGTTTTAAGTTTAACAAGACAAAATTCATAATAATTCTTTTTTCCAGTCTTTATCCTCAGTCCATAGATTTCACGAGATGTGTTACATGAGAAAAATTTTAAGATTAATCTAATTTTAGGGAGGGGAAATTATATTAAGCTGGCAAGCTATAGATCAAAAAGGAGTCTAAATTATGTTTCTGCTGCTCAATGAAAATATGAGTTGCTCTGATATGATTATTCTATACCAGCCTTTTCTTCCTCTGAGTGCATTGAATGAATCAGTTTGCTTATGATGTGCAGTTTGCCATTCAGAAGACTTCAAACATGTAAAGCAGATGAACACAAGACTTCTCTTTTGATTAGGTGCCTGCAACAGAGTGTGAGCCACCAAGCTACCACAAAGCTCCTTTTTGTGGATGCCTGCAGATTGCTACAAAGTTCTTCTAATCTGGTCTTCACTGCTTTACCAACTTAAAGCAAGCTGTGTCTTCATCCACTAAGTGCAAGAGGTGTCATTGACCCACAAAGCACCTTCCATACCAGTTGCATGGGGAATTTAATCTCTCCTCCTATATGTCACCATCATTTAATGGAGACCACAAAGGAGAGCAAACACTTGACCCATCCATGGTATTATTTTTATGTTTGTGTCATTCTCCAAGTAAAGAAGAGAAATTTTAGCCTACCGGACCTCTTTCACTTGGAATGCTGATTCATGTTTACCATTCAGATGTACAATCAGAATGCATAGCAACCGAAGATAATCATTCAAGCAGCACTGATCCCATCTGATGTCAACCCTATGAAATATGTATTTGCAATATGTTAATGGCCATTGACCTCTCTTAGCCAGAAAGAAATATGAGATTTGAAATGCTTATGTGGCAAATAGAAGGCATAAAGTTCAGTTGAGATTCCATTAAGCACTACTAGTTGTTTAATGAGAGAGGTCATCTTTATAATTTAATCACGATTATGCATTGTTCCTTTGTCATCTAGTTGCAATCCTACATATAAATTATTGGTATTTGGTTTATGCAATAATTGTCTGTCAAGAAATATCAGAATTTATGCAATAATTGTCTGTCAATAATTGTCCTTATGAGAGATAGAAGATCAGTCAATGTAACTCCTGGGCATAACAAGAAGTTATGGGACTTACTCTAACCAGTTTGGGAACCTGGCACTGTAGTTTCTTTTTTTTGTGTCAATCCAAAGGTAGAACAACATTCTATTGATTTGAGCAATTCAGAGATAGCTGAACTTTCTAAATCATGCACAGTAGCATAAAATGATCAAACAAGTAGGCAACTACTAGTTCTAAAATAAATCTGGATTAACCAAAGTTTAATATTCTGTGACCAGATCACAAATATGTTCAACTTATTTTTTATCAATCAACAAAGAGCATTTACTATGCATTCACAATCATAATGGTCTTACTAGTGGATCACATGAACACAGTGCACAAGTTTTTAGTTTTAAGAGGAAGAAAAGCTAATTCTTGATCAATATGTATGTTGTTTAGATGAACTGGCCAGGACTTGTATCCTGTGCCAGCAATTTAAAGATGCAGTCCAGTTTTAATCACCTGCCATCTCTACAGTTTTGTTGGTGTCAATTTCGCGATAAGGAGATAAGCTGCAGAGGAAAGGATTCAAATTGAAAGTTAATCAGTTCATTTGCCTTTGTATTACTGAACAAAGCACTTTCTGAATTAATCTTACATTTGTGTTTATGTTATTTTTTGCACCCTTCATGTAGTTTTGTTTTTTCAGAATTGCTGGTGCAACTTAAATATTCATGGATGATAAGAATTACATGAAAAACACAATTTTCTTATGTTAATTTATATCAAACTTGATGGCATCAAAGTCTTCAGAATGTAGGTTTCCGCCACACCATAGTTTTTCATTGTTAATTCAGTACCATATCATCACCCCTCTGGTGATTTATGAGCTGGTTTTATTTTCACTTGAATATTAATGAGTATCTGTAGTTTGACAGGGTGCATACAATCAAGTAAATCCTTGTAATATGAGTATACATGTCCACAATATGTTTGATCCTTAAGAATTTATTTAGATTCTTAAGATTCACACTGTGCAAACAAGTAAATCCTTGTGAATTTAACTTATATGTCCACTTACATATCTAAGAATATACTTATATCCTGAAGTTTCACACTCTGCAAACAAGTAAATCCTTGTAAAAAATTTCTTTTGTTGCTTGATCAACCTTCATGTTTGCACTGGATCGATCACCAATCTTATCTTCCATGTTGTTTTGAGCCAATATACCATTTCTGCTTGTTTGGAACAATAAGCTTACTTCTACTTGGACTCTCAATTCACTTGTCCAAATCAATGTTCTTCACAAGCTTATTATTCTGTTGTCCAAACTACTGCTTATCCATCTCTGTATCATCTACTTTTCTTCTTAGTTAGTAGTAGTTGCATTAAGATGCAAGCTTACAACATTATCTACTGTATCTTTGTGCCTGGATTTCTTTGCTTTCCTCTGTCTTTTCTCTTCTTTCAAGTGCCATTCAAGGCTTTCTTATCTTGTCTGTTGCTTTTCGTTGGTAAGATTGTAAGCATAAAAAATCTGTAATTATGCTAAATCAATAATGCGGAATTAACCTATATGCCAGGATTTGAAATTCAATACATAGATCTAATTATACGATGCGTACCTTTTGATGCCATCCGTTCAGAGATCTTGTTTGATCTGCTCAGCACCGTGATCCAAGATTGCTGCGCTCCGTCTTTAATCCGATCGCGCTGCGGAATCTGCAGAGAGTGCGAAGAGTAGACCCTTTCTCCTCTCTTCCTATCCTTTCACAGGATCACACAAATTGATGGATTTGGGGAGAGGGTTTTGGGGGAGAGAGTCGAGGAGAATAA